GCAGGTGAGTCTGAATTAGCATGAAACTTCCAAGTGTGTCAGACAGTCAGCCTTCCAGGGGGACGGGAAAATCAAACTCTGGTCTCCTGTAGCAGGAGCAGGGATACTCACCGCTATCTTATCAAGCAGGTCGCTGCCTTTCAACAGACCCCTAGGAGAGGGAGCGCTGGGGGATCTGCAGTTTTCACACTGGGGAGGAGGGCCAGACTAGTGGGGCTGTCTCAGGACTCACCAGTGGCTCTAGGTCACATGTTGGGGGGCAGGTGTCAGTAGGGGCTACAGGATGGGGGCTCTGGTTAAAATGAAACTGCACAAAAAACTCCTGCTTTGCTTCAGGGAAAGGCCCTACTTTGGCCTCTCCCCATTTCATGAAAATCTCCATCTCTACCCCGCCCCTCAGAAACCCCCTCTCTCCCTTGGGTATTTTCATGGTTTCTTCCTTTTTTCATGGTCTTGTACAAATATTTTTGCCATGGAAATGATCAAGTACATTTTAAATGAGAAAAACAGTCAAACAACACATCTGTATCTCCTTCACCACACATAGTGTTGTTAGGGTCCTTCATTTTCAGGTTCTATTTTATTTAATTTTTCCCGGGAATTGATTAGTGTTTATTACCACCACCACAAAAACAGGTGAAAATCAGTGCAAACAACTATTAATAATGTTTCTGGGTAATTATCGGGGTTTATTTTGGTGGATGGAAAGACAGGGGGAAAAAGTATTTAGTAGATGAATGCTTTGAATTCCATTCATTGATGTGGTTTGTTGCAGAACTAAAACAGAACTCAAAACAAAATGAGTTTAAGAAAACAATCTCTCTCTAATCCCCAAATAAAACTTTTCGTTTGAATGAACAGGCTACTGTTGCAGACTTACAACTATTAGGCTATACATATTGACATTTAATAACTGGGCCACACCATTTGCAGTGCATACACTCAGCTTCATCCTTTTCTCCTGTTGCTAACAGCTTGAAATGTGCAGAGGTGCACCACTTCAGAGCTGGCATGCATGCCTGTTTGTTTATTGTGTGTATCTTCTAGACCGGGGTGGGCAAACTACAGCCCGCCAGCCAAATCCGGCCCATCAGGGCTTTGGATCCAGCCTGCAGGATTGTCAGCCCAGTGGTGCAACAGGGCTAAGGCAGGCTCCCTGCCTGTCCTGGCCCTGCACCGCTCCTGGAAGCGGGGGACGGTGCCTGCAGGCAAGAGCACCACGTCCCTGCAGCCCCTGGGGGATGGGGGAGCAGAGGGTGCCGCAAGCTGCTCTTGCCTGCAGACGCACCCGCCTCCCCCCCCCCCCGCAGCTCCCATTGGCCAGGAATGGGGAACCGCGGTCAATGGGAGCTTTGGGGAAGGTACCTGCAGGTGAGGGCAGTGCGCGAAGCCCTCTTCTCCCCCTCCCCCAGGGGCCACAGGGACGTAGTGCCGGCCATTTCCAGGAGTGGCACGGGGCCAGGGCAGGCAGGGAGCCTGCCTTAGCCTTGCTGCGCACCGCTGCCATCCCGGAGCAGTTCCAGGTAGGCAGCGCCAGGGCAGAGCCCACACCCTGAACCCTCCTGCACTCCGCATCCCAACCCCCTGCCCTGAGCCCCCTCCTGCACTCTGCAGCCCTCCCTGCACCCCAATGCCCTGCCCTGAACCCCCTCCTGTGCCCTGCACCCCATCCTGCGCCCCAACTCCCTGCCCTGAGCACTTTCCCACACTCTGCACCCCCTCCTGCACTCAAACCCCCTGCCCTGAGCCCCTTCCTACCCTCTGCACCCCCTCCTGCAACCCAACCCCCACCCTGAGCCTCTTGCCGCACCCCTCCTGCACTCCGACCCCTTGCTCTGAGCCCCTTCCTGCACACTGCACTCCCTCCCACACCCCGCACCCCAACCCCCTTCCCCAGCCCTACATTCATGGCCCTACATACAGTTTCCTCACCCAGATGTGGCCCTGTTCTAGACTTATTCAGAGCCTTTCTTCAACAGGAGGCTTTGCATATACACACAGACTCATGTATTATCGTAATACATATATCTCACACAATGTATTGTATTTTCCTAATAAAACAAGTTATTTTTTACATAATTAAATTATACAAAAGCAGGGTGAAAATCAGAAAAAAATGAACCACACTTTTTGTAGAACCCAGGAATTTTTCAGTTAAAATGGGTTTAAACTGAAAACGAAGAAGCTTAGAATTGTGTCTGAATTTTTCTAGTCCAGGTGATCAGAGTCACCCCTACATTCACTTCAGATCAAACCCCGGACGTGCACCAAGCACTTATCGGGGCTGTGGGGCAGAACTAAACTTCACTGGCAGCAGCAAGGGAGGAAGGTTGGGACCGAGCTGTCTGGGAAATATTTTAATCTTTCTTTTTTTCTTTTTCTTTTTTTTTTTTTAAATTAAATCAATGCAGCTTCCACTCCTCAAACACTCCCAAGGAAATAACATTTCTGTGCAAAGTACCCAAAACTTTTAACAATAAGAAGTGACATGAAATAGACACACCATGGCTCCAGAACCTAAGGATTGAGAAGCCATGTGATTATTGAATGTGTATTGATGCTGAAAGGGGAGGTGTTTTGTCTTTGGCTCCCCTTCTCCCTGTGCTGAGTGCTAAACCCCACTCTTCTCCCAGAGAACTAAAACCCAGGAGTCCTGACTCAGCCCCCCTGCTCTAGCCCACGAGACCCCACTCCCTGTGACAAAGGAGGAGCTCAGAGACCCCTGTGCTGTCCCCTCGCCTCCCTGCCCATATCGCACTTGAAACCCAATGGGGTTTCCTTGGGCAGTTTTGAATCTTGCGCCCAAGAAGGGGGTGATTTTAGGTGCAGGTTCCAAACAGCGCAATGAACCAGCCGGATGGGCAGCAGGTGTCGGTGTCGGAGCCATTGAAATAATCAGCAACGTACTTCAGGGAAACGGTTGTTGGTGAAGTGTCAATGGAAGGTCAGAATCTGATCATGTCAGTGTCACACTGGAGGGTGCTGTGATGGTTTTAAATTCGTCATCCAAACCTAGCCGCCCCCTAGCACAGGTTTTAACCTCTTCTTCTCTTACGGTTGCTCATTATCAGAGAAGGGGAAAGAGAGAGGAATAGAAACGGAGGATGTAACAAAAATGACAGCACTGGGGACAAAAATACTGAAGTTTAGAACCCCAGGTCATTTGCTTTCCTTTAATTATAATTAAGGCTACATTTTCATCATGGGTATTTTTAGTAAACATCAGGGACAGGTCATGGGCAGTAAAAAAAAAAAATTCACGGCCCCTGACCTGTCCATGACTTTTACTAAAAATACCAAAGAATAAAACTTGGAGGGGGGGCTTCCCGGGGGCCCTATGGGTGCTGGGGGAGGGTGGCCCGGCTGCTTGGGGGGGGGGACGACACATGGCCTGGGACCCCCGCTGGTGCTGGGGGAGGGGAGGGGGATTGGTGGGGCCAGCAGGCTTCCTACCTGGCTCCACACCTCCCCCACTTCCCCAGCAGCAGCATAGATTGGGTGGGGGAGGGGACAGGGAGTTGGGGCACAGAACAGGGTGAGGCAGGCTCTGGGTGCTGCTTACCTGGAAGGCTCCCCAGAAGGGGCAACATCCCCTCGCTCAGCTGCTAGGCGGACGCATGGCCTGGCAGCTCTGCACGCTGCCTCTGCCTGCAGGCACCGCTCCCGCAGCTCCCATTGGCCGCAGTTCCCGGCCAATGGGAGCTGCAAAGTCAGCGCTCTGGGTGGAGGCAGGGTGCACAGCTGCCTGGCCGCTCCTCTGCCTAGCAGCTGAGCAAGGGGAATGTCACCCCTTTCAGGGAGCCCTCAAGGTAAGCACCACCCAGAGCCTGCCTCACCCTGTTCCCGGCCCCTGCCCCCTCCCACACCCAAATCCAAACTTTGACCTCCATGACAAACTCCCAACCTTAATCATAATGTGCTAATTAACTGGTTTCAGAGGAAAAGCCGTGTTAGTCTGTATTCGCAAAAGGAAAGGAGTACTTGTGGCACCTTAGAGACTAACCAATTTATTTGAGCATGAGCTTTCGTGAGCTACAGCTCACTTCATCAGATGTTTACCGTGGAAACTGCAGCAGACTTTATATACACACAGAGAATATGAAACAATACCTCCTCCCACCCCACTGTCCTGCTGGTAATAGCTTATCTAAAGTGATCAACAGGTGGGCCATTTCCAGCACAAATCCAGGTTTTCTCACCCTCCACCCCCCCACACAAATTCACTCTCCTCTGGTGCTAGCCCATCCAAAGTGACAACTCTTTGCATAATCAAGTCGGGCTATTTCCTGCATAGATCAAGGTTTTCTCACATCCCCCCCACCCCCATACACACACAAACTCACTCTCCTGCTGGTAATAGCTCATCTAAACTGACCACTAGAGACTAAATTGGTTAGTCTCTAAGGTGCCACAAGTACTCCTTTCCTTTTGCTAATTAACTGTTAACCTTCATTTCAAAAACCTCTCTCAATACATTTGTTAGAGAAAAGCTGGGGACTGGTGAGGGGAAGGGCACTTTTTAGTCATTGTTGTGTTCAAAACATGTTTTGACAAAACATCTTTTTAATTCAAACAAAGGGAAGTGTTTCTTCACACAACCCACGGTCAACCTGTGGGACTCTTTGCCAGAGGACGTTGTGAAGGCCAAGACTAGAACAGGGTTCAAAAAAGAACATGATAAATTCATGGAGGACAGGTCTATCAATGGCTATTAGCCAGGATGGGCGGGGATGCTGTCCCTAGCCTCTGTTTGCCAGAAGCTGGGAATGGGCGACAGAGGATGGATCACTTGATGATCACGGTTCTGTTCACTCCCTCTGGGGCACCTGGCATTGGCCACTGTCAGAAGACAGGACACTAGGCAAGATGGACCTTTAGTGTGACCCAGTATGGCCATTCTTATGTTTTTATATTCATGATCAGAGCAAAACCTGCCCTCTCTGAGGGCCAAACTGTGCACCTTCAGATTAGGACACTGATACATTTTTCCCATTATTCCTGGTTCTGTGGTGTAATGGGCAGCACTTTGGACTTTGAATCCAGTGATCTGAGTTCAAATCTCTGTAGAACCATGTCTTGAGTTGCTTTCTTTCTACGTCCCATTGTAAAGAAAAACTCATAGCAGTCGGTGAGCCAGTTTTCCTTCCCTTTTCGAAAAGTCACTGAAGATTCTTGCATGAGTGAGGGGGCAGCAGGGACGACACCAGCGTTAAGACTGGGCAGAGATTCCTAATTAACATTCCCATTTCCAAACTGCTGCTAAGATCCACATGCACACTCAGACTGGCTTGAGAGTGGCTCTGCCAATTCGGCAACCAGTGCAGGGATAATGGGGAAATAATTTGTTTAGGGACAATAACCAATGCTACTGAGTGACCTGTGTTCAAAAACATACCTGCACTGAGAGACACTTGCTGCATTAGTTTCATAGTTCAGCTGGTAGAGAGGAAGACTGTAGGAGGGGGAGGGAGAGCTCAGTGGGATGAGCATTGGGTTAAGCATTGGCCTGCTAAACCCAGGGTTTTGAGTTCAATCCTTGAGGGGGCCATTTAGGGATCTGGGGCAAAAATTGGGGATTGGTCCTGCTTTGAGCAGGGGGTTGGACTAGATGATCTCCTGAGGTCCCTTCCAACCCTGATACTCTATGATCTATGTCTATGGCTAGTGACACATGACAGAGAACATAAGAGCGGCCACACCAGGTCCAACCAAAGGTTCATCAAGCCCAGTATCCTGTCTTCCGACAGTGGCCAATGCCAGGTGCCCCAGAGGGAATGAACAGAACAGGGAATCATCAAGTGATCCATCCCCTGTCACCCATTCCCAGCTTCCAGCAAACAGAGGTTAGGGACAGCATTCCCGCCCATCCTGGCTAATAGCCATTGATGGACCTATCCTCCATGAATTTATCTAGTTCTTTTTTGAACCCTGTTCTAGTCTTGGTCTTCACAACAACATCCCCTGGCAAGGAGTTCCACAGGTTGACTGTGTGTTGTGTGAAGAAGTACTTCCCTTTGTTTGTTTTAAATCTGCTGCCTATTCATTTCATTTGGTGACCCCTAGTTCTTGTGTTATGAGAATAACACATCCTTATTTACTTTCTCCAAGCCCGTTATGATTTTATAGACCTCTATTATATCCCCCCTTAGTTGTCTCTTTTCCAAGCTGAAAAGTCCCAATCTTATTAATCTCTCCTCATACAGCAACCGTTCCATACCCCTAATAATTTTTGCTGCCCTTTTCTGTACCTTTTCCAATTCCAATATATCTCTTTTGAGATGGGACGATCACATCTGCACAGAATATTCAAGATGTGGGTGCTCCATGGATTTATATAGAGGCAGTACGATATTTTCTGTCTTCTTATCTATCCCTTTCTTTAAGATTTCCCACATACTGTTCCCCCTTTTTTTTTTTGACTGCCGCTGCACATTGAGTGGATGTTTTCAGAGAACTATCCACAATGACTCCAAGATTTCTCCCTTGAGTGGTCACAGCTCATTTAGACCCCATCATTTTATATGTATAGTTGGGATTATGTTTTCCAATGTGCATTACTTTGCATTTATTCACACTTAATTGAGCTGCAACACCATTACATCTCCAGGCACTAAAGTTTGCAGGCACCGTCCACCCCCAGCTGCTTACCCCTTCCTCTCAAGTCTGGGGATCCTGGCTGCATTTTGGGGGTGGAAGATAGCAGGGAATCCTTGAACTGAGGCATCCTGGGCATAACTTGGGGGATCATAGAATCATAGAATATAAGGGTTGGAAGGGACCCCTGAAGGTCATCTAGTCCAACCCCCTGCTCGAAGCAGGACCAATCCCCAAGTAAATCATCCCAGCCAGGGCTTTGTCAAGCCTGACCTTAAAAACCTCTAAGGAAGGAGATTCTACCACCTCCCTAGGTAATGCATTCCAGTGTTTCACCACCCTCTTAGTGAAAAAGTTTTTCCTAATATCCAATCTAAACCTCCCCTACTGCAACTTGAGACCATTACTCCTCGTTCTGTCATCTGCTACCACTGAGAACAGTCTAGAGCCATCCTCTTTGGAACCCCCTTTCAGGTAGTTGAAAGCAGCTATCAAATCCCCCCTCATTCTTCTCTTCTGCAGGCTAAACAATCCCAGCTCCCTCAGCCTCTCCTCATAAGTCATGTGTTCCAGACCCCTAATCATTTTTGTTGCCCTTCGCTGGACTCTCTCTCCAATTTATCCACATCCTTCTTGTAGTGTGGGGCCCAAAACTGGACACAGTACTCCAGATGAGGCCTCACCAATGTCGAATAGAGGGGAACGATCACGTCCCTCGATCTGCTCGCTATGCCCCCACTTATACATCCCAAAATGCCATTGGCCTTCTTGGCAACAAGGGCACACTGCTGACTCATATCCAGCTTCTCGTCCACTGTCACCCCTAGGTCCTTTTCCGCAGAACTGCTGCCTAGCCATTCGGTCCCTAGTCTGTAGCGGTGCATTGGGTTCTTCCGTCCTAAGTGCAGGACCCTGCACTTATCCTTATTGAACCTCATCAGATTTCTTTTGGCCCAATCCTCCAATTTGTCTAGGTCCTTCTGTATCCTATCCCTCCCCTCCAGCGTATCTACCACTCCTCCCAGTTTAGTATCATCCGACATTTGCTGAGAGTGCAATCCACACCATCCTCCAGATCATTTATGAAGATATTGAACAAAACCGGCCCCAGGACCGACCCCTGGGGCACTCCACTTGATACCGGCTGCCAACTAGACATGGAGCCATTGATCACTACCCGTTGAGCCCGACAATCTAGCCAGCTTTCTACCCACCTTATAGTGCTCTGTGCTTTGCTCCACACTGGGGATATTTGCACACAGCTGATTAGGAATCTGCCCACAGGTGAAATGATGGGGAAGTTGGGAACTGCTCTGCCCACTTATTTCTCCTGCTGCCCCTTTCAGTCTCTCTCTCCCTCTCAGGCTGGGAGACTTTAGTCACTTTCCTCTTCCCAGCCAGCGGTGATCCCTCTCCCCGAGCTAGATCAGCTTCTGAAAGGGCTAGCCAGGTGCCAGAGCGTGTGTGTGAGTGTTTCAGTAAATACAGCGGCTCTGGGTGGTGAGCAGAGAGGGGGGCTGGCTGCGGCCGGAGAAAGCCCTGCCTTGCCCCAGTGATCGCTGCTGCAGCGCGGGTTAGTGTTTGCAGGACACACACAGGAAGGGGCTGGAGCAGCTGGGAGCAGGGAGGAGCGAGGAGGAACTGGGGAGAACAAAGAACCGAGACCAGGTATTGTTACAAGCTGCTGCTCTGCCTCCGTTGTGACTGGAAGCCCAGCAGGAGCAGCTGTTGATTCCCCAGCTGGGGAGAGACCAGCATTCAAGCTTCTTGCTTCTCCAGCTGAAGTGGGGGGAAGTTTCTCCAGCTGGAGCCAGCCCATAGGGCAACCCTGGGCTCTGCAGACACCAAGCCTGAGCCGGAGACTCCAGGTAATTGAGAGAGACCCTTGGGTGGGGGTGGGAGAACTGGGCACGGGCAGGAAAGTGACTCTGAGCACAGAGGGATCCTGAGCTCTCACAGCTTCTGCAGATCTGCTCCCTTGGCGCTAATGAATTTGCGGGGAGGGATCTTAGCTGCAAAGGAAACTCCCACCCTCAGGCTGCCTCCAAGCTCCGGCCAGGATCTGCCCCAGAGAGGCAAAATGTGGGGAAAGAAATCGGGCCCCAGGGGGGGGTTCCCCCTTGTGTGTCTGGAAGTGTCAGGGAGGGGAAAGACAGTGTGACACTCTGGAGATTGAACGACCTCTGTGTAGGCAGAGCATCCCTGGAGGGGGAAGAACAGGACCCTCTCCTCTCAAACATCCATAAAAGTCTCTCCAGTTCTTCCTCGTTTTCTCCCCAATTATTAGCCAGGCCCAGCTGCCGCTGCCTCCACCCACAACTGCCCCAAGCAAGTCCCTCCCCAGCTATTACTTGCCAATTACCGGTCCATCCCCTGCTGGCTCCTTCCCAGCTTAAAGCAGCTTTTTAAAAGTTACTCTGCTGAATGGTGGGAGGTGGTCGGGTGATGGTAGTTTATTAACCATGCCTATGTGATCCCTTCAAACCTTACCAATTTTCCGCTCTAGCTAATGACTAGAATCCCCCAGATCTTGGTGTTTTTCCTCTCGTATAATCAAATATTTAAGTTTTGACCCATTTTCTCCCCAAATCCCAAAGACTGATATAAAATATAGGATGGTTGAATGATTAAAAAAAATTGTGATTAATTGTACAACTGAAAAATAACAATTAATCACTGTTTTAGTCGCGCTGTTAACAATAATAGAATACCCTTTGTTTAAATATTTTTGGCTGTTTTTTATATTTTCAGAACTATTGGTTTCAATTACTACACAGACTACAAAGTGCACAGGGCTCACTTTATATTATTGTTTTTATTACAAATATTTGTACTGTAATAAAGAAGCAAAATAAATAGTATTTTTCAATTCGTCTCATGCAGATACTGTAGTGAAATTTCTTTCTGGTGAAAGTGCATTGCAGGGTGGGGAATTACAGGTAGGACCTCATAAATGTAAAAAATAATGTAAAATGTCTTAGCGATTGGCTGAACAAGAAGTAGGACTGAGTGGACTTGGAGGCTCTAAAGTTTTACATTGTTTTATTTTTGAGTGCAGTTACGTAAAACAAAACATTCTACATTTGTAAGCTGCACTTTCATCACAAATAGATTGCAGGACAGTACATGTATGAGGTGAATTGAAAAATACTATTTCTTTTGTTTATCTTTATTACAGTGCAAATATTTGCAATCAAAATAATAATGTAAAGTGAGCACTGTCCACTTTGTAACTGAAATCAATATATTTGAAAATGTAGAAAAAATCCACAAATATTTATAATAAATTTAAACTGGTATTCTATTATTGTTTAACAGTGCACTTACAACTGCGATTAATCACAATTAATTTTTTAAATCCAGCTAATTTGTTTTGAGTTAATTGTGATTAATTGACAGCCCTATAAAATCCTTAAAATTTTGTCCCACTTTTTCTCTACCTATTACTAATTTCATATGCCCTGAAAATTTTCCCTGGCTCCCACACTATTTCACAGCTACAATTTCCTCAGCTATTCCCCTTTTCTCAGATTCTTGGACAGTGATAAAGAATCCTGGCAAATGTTGCCCTTTTCTCTCTATTTATCAAATATTGATAAGAAATTCACGCAGATTTTACCTCTTTCTTGATTATAGACTACTGATATAGAAACCTCCACACGTTTCCATTTTCCTTTCTAATTTGTGAAAATGGATCCAAAATCCCTCAGATTTCCACCCTTCTCTCTTGCATTACAGAACATCGATCTCAGATCACAGGTTGTTCATTTTTCTGTGTAATTATTCGTGTTTGATTCGTTTGCATTTGCGGGGGTTCTCCTTTTTTAATTGTGTCAACTTCTGCTTTTTTGGAGGGAACCTGTAGCCCTGAGTCTTTCCCCTTACTTGAGGCTGCAGGGGGTTAAATTCTGCAATGATCAACTTTCCCTTCATTGGAGAATCTTCTGATTTCCTGTTTGTTTCCTTTAAAATGTTTGCTGATGAAAGAGGCTTACCCCATGTTTAATACACATCAAAGCCAGAGACCTGTGATTAGTGGCTCCCACTTGCTAACAGGACAGTTGGCTGGATCCTTTCCTTTTCCCCAGACAGTGGCAGTTTAGCCACTGGTCCAATGGGGCCTGTGCCCAGGGGCCCTGGACAATTAGGCTCCCCTTCCCTGTAAAAATGGGCATCCCAACCCCATTTCCCCAGCAGGAGTGCTGGGGTAGGGGGGCAGGGAGGACTGCAGGTGGAAGGGGTGAGGAGGGGCCCCTTCTTGTTCTAGCCCAGGGCCCCACAAACCCCAGTCCGCCTCTGTCCCCAGATGGCACAGGACAAGGGGTTCATTCCCCTCCTGGGGCTGCTCTGCATGTCACTGGCTCCTTGCTGCCCCAGGCGGTGCCCAGAGGGGCTGAGAATCTCCTTGCTACTGTGTTAACCCCTCACCATTTTCACCAGAAGGATCCCCAAACCCCATGACAAATGCTCTCCATCAGGGTTTGCTTCCCCCAGCACCAAGATGCAGCCGTCTCTGGGGTGGAGCCATGGTGGCCATTATGTGTCAGTGACCAGGGCATGGAAATGTCTAAAATGTGTTGTCCTTCCATGCCCTCTATTCTGTTAAAGAAGCATCACCCAGGGCTCCCTCTGCCTATGTGAATGGCCAGCAGAGGTTGGTGATAAATGGCTAGAAAGTTATCAAACACTGATATGAAATCACCACAGATTTTGCTTCTCTCCTGCATGATAAACTTCATGAACTTTGGAGGGAAACCCGAGTCCTTATCCTGGGGATCAAGAGGGATGGAGGGAAAGGGGAAGGAGGGGTTAACCCCCACCCTCCATCTGTTTAAAGGGATTTTGGTCTCCTCCTTTCTGAGCCAGGTTTCTTGTCTCACTGAGACCAGTGTTGATCCAGAATCACTGCACAGAAGGACCAGGAGTGACTCCAGATTAGCATGGGAGTGAATGAGATCCACATCTGGCCCTTTGAGGAGGTGCTTTCATTGTTATACCGGACCCCGGGCTGAGCAGCTGCTTCTCCCCCAACAGGATCTGTGTGGGAATGGAGAGTGACCTTCTGTCACAGAGTCACCCCCACCTCTCAATCTGCTGTTCTCAAGCTGGGGTCTTTGCTCATCTTCCCAGCTGTGAGGTGAGGAAATCCATGAGCTTGCATTGTCTCTCTGCCCCGCCTTGTTGACTTGGGTCAGTTTCAACCAGTTCCTTAATGACTCTTCATTCCATCCAGACGCTTATTACTCTTAGTCTGCCCCAAAAGGAAACTTCATCCTTTCCCCCCAAGTAAGTAGCAGTGCAAGACATAAGGGAAACTGAGGCACACATTTGGTTCACACAAATATTACAAAAAAATCCCACTTTGTCATGCCTTCATTACAGCTTCCTGTGTTCCTAGCTGAGGTGAGGACTTTCTCCAGCTGTTGCTAGCCCCCTAAGACACCCCTACACTCTGCCAATGTCAACGCCTGAGCCAGAAACTCCAGGTAATTGAGACAGACCTTAGGGAAAGTGCTGCAGAGGGGAATGAAAGTGACTCTGCACAGACAGAATCTCCCCTCCCATTAGCAATTGCAGGAGCGTACCAGTCATGGGAGAGCAAACGACCTGGAAATGGGACCCTCTCAACAGGAAGGAGAGGGAGAGGGGACCGGGGAAGGAGGACAGAGTTTGAAAGGGGCAGTGGGAGAGATAAGTAGGGAAGGAGTTTCCCAGATCTCTAACCTGCCCAGACACACTTATTGCAGCATCCTTGGGCAGAATCACTTTTCCGTGGACAAGGTGAGGAAAAGCCAGTTTCTGGCTCCCCCTTCCTGCTGCTTGGGGGGAAGGTGAAGGGGGAGGGGGACATTCTGCCCTGGGGACATCAGGGGGAATCCCCCAAAGTGACTCCTTTGGGTCTGCTCTTTTGTAGCATTTTGTTCAGAGATTTTGTTACTGGGCAGGGGTTTAAAATGTCTTGGTGGGAGAGGCCAGGTCTGCGCTGTAACAAAGCAACCAAGTGTTTTCTCAGCACAGAATCATGGACATGTTTGGTGGGAACAGCGGAGCCAGTTCAGGTAGAAATTATCAGGGAATTGCTGATGGGTTTCTGCTGGAGAGAGCGGGGGAATAAATCCATAGGAGGTTATAGCTTCTGCAGAGGATGCTCAGGAGGTGGGAGGGGGCAGGAAATACCCAGGGTAGAGAAAGGGAGGGGGACAAGGTGTGACAAATCTACTGGGATGTGTTTAACATGGGACCTAGATTCTAGAAACAGACCTATCACACTTCAGGGCAACCGCCCCTGTATTTCCTCTCTGGTCCAGGAATTTTTGGGCTTGTAGTGTCTTGGCTGTTTTCTTAGAGGCAGCCTGGTGCAGGGCTTTCATCACCTTGTTATCCCAGACCTGTCTGCCTCCCTTTCTTTCTCTGCACTCTCCCCCTTGTAGCGGGCCTTGTTTCCTCTGCTGGCTGAAGCTGAGTGCACCTGCCTCCGTGACTGGCAGCTGTGTGAGGGTGAGATCCAGCTGCTTGCTCGTAAACAGGAGAGACTTTCCTCCCCACTCTTTGCTGGGCGGGGTTGAACTAGGGACCTCTGGAGCTTAGTGCTTGAGCCTCTACGGCATGAGCTAAAAGCCAGCTGCCTGTGAGCAGACTCATTTAACTCTCTAAGTGGTCTCGGTTCCAGTAGATAAGACACCACCACACCCTGGAGGTGTGTGGGTTACACTTGCTTTCTCTTCAGAGATTAATTTTGAATGGTCAGTTTCTAAGCAAGCATATTTATTCTTCAGGTTGAAAGCATTACAGAGAAATCGTAAGAAACACACTAAAAGAGTCTGCACGTGGCTAATAATAAGCGCGTTAGAGAATACATCAACTCCAGCATGGGCTGTGACAGTCCTTCAGATCTTGCACATGGGTTTTCAAGTTCATACTGAGAACAAGAACATTCATGAATCTGTGAGACACTTGTTTATCCAGTTTGGGCCTTTAAAGAGACCATGAAGAGGTAATCAGTGAGACAATGGGTTTCTGCCCAAGGCACCTCTTCAAAAGGATGCATTTAGTAGTGGGTCATTTGTGACCATTGCCTCCAGTATTTCCTGGGAAACCTACTCAAGCTGGGGCTTGTCCACATCCAAGATGCTACAGCAGAAGCTCTGTAGCACTTCGGTGCAGACACTACTATGGTACCTGTCCTGATTCTCGCGGCGGTGGTGGTGGTAATCCAACTCCCTGAGAGGCAGTAGCTAGATTGAGGGAAGATTTCTTTCACTGATCTCACACTGTCTACACTGGGGATTGGGGTCAGCTTAACTGTCGCGCAAGGGTGTGGATTTTTCATAGCCTCAAGAGACGTAACGGGGTCGACCTCACTTTTTAGTGTAGACCAGGCCTAACAGTTTACATGCTTTCAAAAAGTCCTTTGAAGTTCCTAAAATTTCCCCAAGGATTACATTAGTCACCTTTTCTAGAAAAAAGAAAAGGAGGACTTGTGGCACCCACTTTTCTTTTTGCGAATACAGACTAACACAGCTGCTACTCTGAAACTTTTCTAGAAAAGTTACTCGCCATCTTACAAAAGCACATAAACAATTGCATTTTTACTATAATAAACCCCAAAGATATTAAACTTAATTTGCTAGGGTGCAACTTAATTCAGTACGGTTTATCCAGGAGACTGCCCAACATTTCACAAGGTCTGGGGATAGAAATTCCATAATGCGTCTAACACGAAACAAATCCTCTGGACTGGTTTGTGAAAACTTTCCAGACCCCCAGTGCTGGAGCATGGACCTACCAGTCAGAGGCTGTTATGACATATGAAAGGGGGCACCCACCAGAGGAGCTTAAGGGAGATGACTCATCCCATCACATCCAGCTGCTGGCAATGGGGAAGGGGATGGGATTCCTACCAAGGGGCTGTCCCTGTATCAGTCTGGGGCTAGTAGGAGTGTGATGGATCTGCTGGGATCTTTGTCCCCTCACCCTGATGCCTCCTGGCTGCTCTCAGCAGTGTGGGGATAGGACTCTGCTGATTGTGAGCCTCCCAGAGCTCCCATTTGATTGTCTCCTCTCCCCCACGAATAGTGGGGCTGTGAGTGGGGCAGCAGGTCCTGAGTGTTGGACTCTTGCTCTTTCAGGGGCTGGTGACCTTCGAGGAGGTGGCTGTGGATTAAGTCTAATATCTTCTCTTTCATAAGGTAAAATCTGGGTTTAGCTCTGGCATAGCAAACAGAAGCTACCTACACCTGGCTGATACTCAAACACTGAGTCTTATCCACACAGACCATCTCAGAATTGCAAAAGGTTACCACCCCTAGACGGTTCCTTCTGAGGCATTGCCTTCACTTTCCCCTCACTGAGCCCTGCAGTTCACTAGCATGTATGCCACCAGACTGCTGACAATCCCCATGATAATAATGTACCCTTGTGCAACGTCTCTGACACAATCCAAAACACTCATCACGGAAATGAGGCAGACTTGGTCCCTCAAGTTTCACACGCACCTCTTTGCATACCACAGCTCTGCCCAGCTGCTCCAACTAATCCCTCTATCATCCAATTACAGCTACAGCTGACCCAGTGCACACAGCTGGAGGGCATGCAGAGAAATGCTGGGATTCCCGTCTGTGGAACACAAACAATGGCATGTTCTCTTAGCCCTTCCTTGTATGTATTATAGATTCAGGCCAGGAGGGACTATTAGGTCATCTAGTCTCACCTCACCCGTATAACACAGGCCACAGAATTTCATCCAGTTACTGCTGTATTGAGTTGAATACCTTGTGTTTGACTAAATCATCTTCCACAAAGGCATCCAGTCTTGACCTGAAGACTTCAAGAGATGGAGAATCCTCCACTTCCTGGAGTAGTTTGTTAACCCTTGGACCACCCTTATTGAATTGTTACCAGTAGCCATTGCCCGCTCTAGGGTTCAGGAGGGGGCAAAGTTCTCGGTGCGTTGTATGGGTGGAGTATACTTTAACTCTTCATTTCCGAGTTTTCAGAAATATAAGTTTAGCCACGGACCAGATGCTGGTAGGACATGAGTCAGCCCTGGGCAACATTAGCTCTGCATTAGTGTAGTTCATGGGCATTTAATTTTCTTGAGTTTTTAATAGACTTTTTGCTACTCTAGCTCTGTCTACACTAGAGCTTTTGCTAGCATAACTATGTCAGTAAGGGGGAGTGATTTTTCACACCTCGAACCAGCAGAGCTATCCTGGCAAAGCATTTAAGAGCACACCAGATCCGGGTCTACACGGATTTTAGAGCACTTTAAAATATTGCTCTGAACCCAGAAATTTTGGTAGCAGAGGGCAAAACTTCCAAGAGGAACTCCTGCTGAATGCAAGAAAAATGCACAACACATTATGTACAAATGTATCAGTGGTAGGGATCAAACTGAAATGCATGGGTGTCACTCAACTCCAATGGCCACAGCATGTTCTCTTGTGCCAAACAATTACTGTGAAAGGAGATTGCTGGAAACCCTCTGGCTGTTACCAGGAGCCTTAGTCTGGCTGCATTTCATGTGCACATCATGTGCATTTCAATCTCTTTTGGCTCCTCACTTTTGCTCATGCCAATCTGAAATTCCAAACTCTGCAGTTAACTTTTTCAGTGTTGCTTCCCCAAAGAGGCAGTGGCAGCCCTTCAGTAGCTGAGAAATGCCAAGTGACTGAGATCAGACGGGGGACAATTAGAACCCCTGTTTCAGCCCCAGCTGTGTGAAAAAATAGTTATAAGACCCAGGTGATTGTGTCAAAAGCTGCTTTTAGGGAGGGCTGCATCTCAGGAACCTCTCCATCGACTAAAATCACCCCATATTTGGACCACTAGATCTGCTCTTCACCCCTATGATGAGCAGCAAATTTCAAAAGATTAGGAGCAAACGTGGATTTTAGAGTAATTACAATAGTTGCTCTTTAAACAGAAAATAATGCTGAATCTTAACGATGGTAGAGATGGTGCTCGGCTGTAATAACTTCCCAATTGCATGGAGGGTGTGACAGTTGGGGGGCCCATCTGATAGGAGACAGTACGAGTGCTATTCAGAAATCCTTGGGAAAAGGTGATGCGTGAAAATTACTGGAATACAAATGTGGGTCTGCGGAGTCCCAGGGGGTGGCATTCCTGTGCCAGCACCAGATAGCCTTGGCAGAGCCCCTGTCAATGCACATCCTGGGAGACATGAACAAAAGAACCGTCCTATAGGGTCAGACCAAAGGTCCGTCTAGCCCAGTGTCCTGTCTTCCGACAGTGGCCAAGGCCAGGTGCTCCAGAGGGAATGAACAGAACAGGGAATCACCAAGTGATCCATCCCCTGTGGTCCATTCCCAATCACTGCAGGAAGCGCTGCCCACACTAGAGATGACCAGCAGCCCCTCCCATGACCTCTGATATGACCCAGACCTACTATTTAAGCCTGGGGATCGTACCGGGATATCACCTGTGCAACAAGGCAGATCTGTGACCAGTTGCTGAGACAGACCAC